TTTTTTTTTTAAGATAGAGTCTTCTGAACTATTTGCCTGGTCTGTCTTTGAACCATGATCCTCCTGAGCTCTGCCTCCTAAGCACCTAGGATTACAGGTATAACCACCAGTGCCTGGCTAGGCTGTGTGAATTCTGTTTCTCCTTGAACTCTCAGAGATGCTGGGCACACTGGTTCCCCACCTGGGTATTGGACACCCTTCAAGAGTTTTCCCATTCTGATGAAGGAATGAATGCCTTTATTTCTCTGCGAGGCTTTGGGCTGTGTGACTTGTTCTCTGAATTTCAAGCATCATTGTTATCTTCCTTACTTCTACCCACCAAATCCTGGATTTTAAATTAAAATTTAAAATCCAACTTTAAAAGTAAAGGAACCTACCTATTTATAGGAAAAGCTGAAATTCTCATAGATCTGACTTGACCCAGGTCTGGAGTAGCCATATTGTTTTTTCTCTCAGGTAAAGAGAACAGAACTTTATAACTGGTACCAGGACCAGTTACCTTTGCCCATCCCCTGTCCTACCCCTTTCCTGCCTTGGAGATAAGGGATAGTTATATGTCCTGCTTTTCCTGGGCACAATCTAACTTTTCATGTCCTCTCATGGATGAAGCATAATCAGATGTCATTCAAATCATGTGTTTCTTCTGATATTGGGCATGGACGGTTACCCAATTTTACCCTTCAGCTAAGAGAAACCAGGAGCCTGAGTCACAGAACTCTAGAGCTGAGGGCAAATCTATGCATAGCAATTGAGAAAGAGAAGAGGGCAGAGGGAAAAACCCATTGTTACAGTCACAGCCTATAGGTGGCAGTCCATCTAGTCATGTCTGACTGGTACCAATACAGGGAGCATCATCTTGGCTGAGACAAGGGCAAAGGTCTCCCCTGATTGCAGTGTGCATGTGCTGAGGGGACCATGCCGGGCCCTGGAACTCAGGGAGGCCCTGTATTGCTGGAGGAGGTAGCATATAAGCCTTGGCACAGGGCAGTTCTACTTATAATCCTGCCTGACTTTCTTCCTTTGTCAAGTGGGAATAACGATTCTTTGGCTGGGTGAGGATGCAGTGAAAAGGGAGTGCAAGATGCTTATTTATCCTGATGCCTGGTATGTAATAAGCCCTCAGTAAATGTCACCCACTATAGTATGGGGAACAGGAAAGCATACAAGAAGGAATGTGGGAATTTGCCAGCTAGGGTTCTGTGTATCAGTCTGATCCTCTCTCCCCAGGGTCACTTCCCTCCAAGGGCCATTCAGATCACACAGAAGAAGCCTTCCTGGAGGACAGAGCATGAGATCCAGGCCCTCTGCAATGTTCTGCAGGTTCTGGATAGCTACCGGAACTATGAAGAGCCCCTACAGCTGCTTCTGGCCAAGGTCATGCGCTTTGAACGGTTAGTGAGTTCCTCCTGGGCTAGGGCAGGAGGAACTTGGCTGAGATATGGCAGGTCTTGCCCATCCTTCTGAGGATATCAGCCATGAAGTCTTCTGTCAGTTCAACTGAGTGATCACTGTTATGGTGGCAACTCAGCTGAGTTGAACCTAAAGAGGTGACCTAGAATTAAGAGTCATTAAACCTGGAGATGGTCTGGTGGGAATGTCTGAAAGAATCTGGTTCAATTCCCTCACTTTTCAAATGGGAAAACTGAGGTCTAGGGTGGGGGGAGAAGACTTATCCTAGAGACCCAGTGTCTTAATCTATGTTCTGTTGTTAGTAACATAATACCACAGACTGAGCAAGTTACAAAGAGACTGATTTCAGCCAGGCACAGTGACTCATGCCTGTAATCCCAGCTTCTCAGGAGGTGGAGATTGAGATGACCATGCTTATAGGCCAGCCCGGGCAAAAAAGGGATACCCCAGTGTATTGTGTTTTAATCAATACACTGGGCGTGGTAGTGCATACCTGTGGTTCCAGCTATGTGGGAGGCCTTAGGTAGTAGAATCTCAGTCTGACTGAGGACAACCTGAGTGAAAACATAAAAACCTACTGGAAAAACAACTAAAGGATAAAAAAATTGAAGGTGTGACTCAAGGTAGAGTACTTGTCTGAGGACTTGACTTCAAACCCTATTTACCATCAGAAAAAAAAGAGACTGATTTCAGCTCATGGTCTGGTCCATGATTGAAGGGTCACTTCTGGTGATGACCTTCTTGCTGGCAGAGAATTAAGGCATCATGTATAGACAGCATATTTGTATCCCCTGATCTATCTCTCTCCTTACAAAGCCATCAGCAAAAAAACCAAAAACAAAACAAAGCCACCAGCATTCAGTTGGGGCTTAACTCTGATGCCTTATCTAATCTTGTATGTGTGAGTGCATGCATGTATATGAGGTCAAACCCAGGGCTTTGTGCATATTCAGTATGTGCTCTAGCCGCTGAGCTACATCTCATCTTTTTTTTGTTTTGTTCTGTGGTACTGGGGTTTAAACTCAGGGTCTACGCCTTGAGCCACTCCACCAGCCCTTTTTTGTGTTGGGTATTTTTGAAATATGGTCTTGAGAACTGTTTGTCTGGGCTGGCTTCAAACTGCCTCCTGAGTAGCTAGGATTACAGGTGTGAGCCCTTGGCACCCAACTTTTTTTTTTTTGAGACTGTCTTACTATGTAGCTCAGGCTTGTGTAGAACTCACTAGGTAGTCTGGACTAGCCTTGCACTCTTGATCCTCCTGCTTCAGTCTCCTGAGTACTGGGATTACGGGGTTGGTATTTTGTTTTGGCAGTACTGCAGTTTGAACTCAGGGTCCCAGGCTTGCTAGGCAGGCACTATAACACTGCCTGTCCCCTAGCCCTTGAGCTACACCCTTAGCCCTTTTTCCCCAGCTGTTTTTCAGATAGAGTCTCACACTTTTGATCTAGGTCAGCCTTGGACCTGGATCCTTCTACCACCACCTCCTGAGTAGCTGGGATTATAAGTATGTATCACCATGCCTGGCTTATTCTTTGAGAGAAGAGCTCACTAACCTTTTGTCCTTGCTGGCCTGGAACCATAATCTTCCTATCTCGGCCACAGGCTTGGTAATCTTAAAGATCTCCCAAAAGCCTCACCTCTAAACACTGTAGTAGGATTAAGTTTCTACCCTCTTTATACCTCACAATGGGGATCAAACTCCAACATGAGTTTCAGAAGGGACAAACTACATTCAAATTCAAACCATAGCATCCAGAAAACAAGGAGCATAGCTGAAACTCAAATCCAGGCCCTAAAAGACAGAATGAATCACAGGTAACTGTACTCTGTCCAAGTGGGTACTTGAATGAGAAAAACAATTGCATCCCTATTTTTATTAACTCTACATGAAAGTTATCATTTCCTTCCATCTTTAATGTAGGCAACAAGCCACTGTACTATTAGCCACACCTGTGACTTTTTTCTTTTTGAGACAGGGTCTCACTCTGTAGCCCAGATTGACTTTGAACTCTTGATCCTCCTGCCTCAGCCTCCCGAGTGCTGGGATTACAGATGTATAGCACTGGGCATGGTACACCCAGCACTTGTGACTTTTTCATTGAAAGAAATCACAGATATTTTCTTGTTTTGTTCAAATTGTACCAAGTTCTTGAAAAAAATTTATATTCATCACATCTTCAAAATCAGGGTAGTTAATGATTTTCTGCTCGTTCTTGTTATTCAGTACCTTAAAAGACATGCGTATATGTTATAATTGTGGGTTTTGTTTTTGTTTTTTGGCAGTTCTACAGTTTGAACTCAGGGCCTCAAACTTGCTAGGCAGGTGCTTTATCACTTAAGCCATACCACCAGCTCTTTTTTTGTGTGTTGGGTGTTTTTGGGGTAGGGTCTCATGTTTTGCCTGGGCTGGCCTTGAACCTACATTCTCCTGATTTCTGCCTCTGGAGTAGCTAGGATTACAGGTGTGAGCCACCAGCCCCCAGATCCAATTGCGTTAGTTTTTATTTTTTTATTTTTTGGTACTGGGGTTAGAATTCAGGGCCTCGTACTTGCTAGGCAGGTGTTCTACCACTTGAGGCACTCCACCAGCCCTCCAACTGTGGATTTTTAAAAACATTTAACTGTGGATCCTGCTGAATTTTATTTTACGTATCTAAAACATTAATTTGTGAAGGTTTCACCAGACTTTTGAAGGGTCCATGGCACAGAAAGTGCCATGTAAATACCTGTACTGGAGAAGTCTAAGAGGAACATGTGGAAGTATTGCCATTTTCTAGACATCTCAGTGGCTTCCTAGGAGCAGTTTAGCACAATATTTGAAGTTAGCCTATTTGAAAATTCAGGACATATAATCACTATAAGTTTGTACTTTAATTCCCTCCTTCATAAAGGTCACAGTCTACCACATAAATAAAACTATCTTCAGGTCAGGGCCTTTTATGACTGGTGCCAGATGCTTCAGAGGCAAGCTGGCTTTGTCATGAGTTTCACAGAAGAGGTTATGTTAGAACAGAATCAAACTGACAAGTGGAGGTGTAGCCAGGATTTTTCAGGCTGATACAGCTGTTTGATTTGTTGTAGTTCAGGAGAGAAGAGCCAGTTACTATTCTCTATGAAGACTCCACAGCAGGCAGAGTGGTGTCAAGGTGAGAAAAAGAATTGTGAGGCTAGAGAGTCAATGCCACATCTGCCTCAGTGGGACCTCAGGCAAGCTACTTAGCCTTTCTGAGTCTCAGTATCCTCTTCAGTGAAATAAGGATAACAAAATGGACTGTACTAAACATGAGATTCTTGGGAAGACCAAGTGAGATAGTGATCGTTAAAGCCCTCAGCTAGTTGTGAGTTATTTCTGGTATTGGCAGTTAGCAGCTTGGACAGAATTCTTCCATTTGCTAGTATGAGAAAACCCAGTTCCAGGGAATGCATTGATGGCTCATCTGAAAAGTCTTGAGATAGTTCTTCTGCTCCATGCTTAGCTGGACTCAGAAGCTCAATGTCAGCAGGACCCAGCGTCTGGCTTTCTGTCTCTTCTTATCTCTTGACGTTCATTCTTATAAGGCTCCTTCTCAGCCATCTTTTCCTCTCATAGTTGCAAGATGGCTGCCATGGTCATAGCACCTAATTTCCATCTTCCAGTTTTATTCTGACAGGAAAGAATCACTCAAGTGAGAGGTTTAGGGTTAGTTTTTCCTGAAACAAATTGTCTTTAACTGAGTCATCAGTGTGATCTGGGTTTAAGAACTAAATCCTCTTTTGGGCTGGGCATGGATCTGAGTGCTTCTACCTTAATGGTGCTCAGTTGGGTAGTGAGCTACTGGGGATCATGCCAACACTGTTTATCTGTCTCTTTTTAGGCATGTTCATCTGTATTTCACAGACAAGAGAAACTGAACCTCAGAGAGGGGAGAGATAGGTGCCCAATGTCACACAGCTAAGAGTGGAACCAGGATTTGGATCCTGGCAGCTTTCAGCATCTTTTCACTCATTTATTCCACTATAGTTCACTGAACATGTGCTAGATGTCTAAGCATGTACAGCAGCCAGACAGACCAACAAAGTCTTTGCTTTCAGGAGGTTTCAGTTGAACAGAGGCAGGTAGTGAGGGTCTGGCTTGATGGAATGCTCTGAAGTCCCTTCTAGTCCAAGCCTATACATTCCCACATCAGAACAAAGAGCACAGCCAGTTCAGAGCTTTTCCCAGCATGGATTAGCCTCCCTATTGCTAATTAGTAGGCTATGGTCTTTTCCCAGGTTTGGTCGCAGGCGTGTGATCGTCAAGAAAGGACAGAGGGGCAACAGTTTTTATTTCATCTACCTGGGCACAGTTGCAGTGACCGAAGATGAGGACGGCAGTAGTGCCTTCCTAGACCCACATCCAACATTGCTGTACAAAGGAGGCTGTTTCGGAGTAAGCCCAGGGGAAGAGCCTTGCTTCCTGAGCTAGGGTTGGGGTATGACAGGAATCCTGCTCCTGCCTCTTAAGCAGGCCCTGTCCTGCCTTATCCTGTATTGAAGTCACCCATCCTGTGTGGACCCCAGAGCCTTTACCTATCAAATGCTGAATGAGTTAGACCAGGTAATGTCCAAAGTTGACCTCTTTACCAGATGCTTAAGAAGTATATTCCCTGTTTAACTCCTCAGAGACACAGTGACTCCAAGGCCAGACTTTGCCAACTTCCTTTTTTCTGCCTGTTGCTTCTTTTTCCACTAGCATAGTAGATAAAAAGGGACCTGCATTCGGGAACTGAGCGGGAAGTATGGAGGGAACCAAGGAGCTTATTGTCTGTGAAGGACAGATTTCTGGGGGAAAACAGAGACCAGGAAGGACTGTGAGCAGGAAGCTGGAGGTGACCTCATGCTTGCCCTTGTTCCTACTCACCCAACAGGAAATGGGCCTTCTGAGTGCAGGAGTAAGGAGAGCCACTGTGGTCTGCATGGAGGAAACAGAGTTCCTGGTTGTTGACCGTGAAGACTTCCTTGCCAATAAACTAGATGATGAAATTCAGAAGGAGTCTCAGTATCGATTTGGATTTTTTAGGTAACTCCATTTCATTAAACATCTTTCCCCCTTCCTTGTTCGTTAGTACTTGACTTTGCCCTTGACCCAGTGGGAAACATATCAGATACTGTTCTCTTGGCCTGGAATGTTCTGGACTACTCACCTCTCACCCAACTTCTCTGTCTAGTCAAACTCCTAGTAGATCTTCAGGTGTCAGTTTGTGGGATAGTAAAAATAAGAATAGCTAACAGATTGAACACTTGCGGACAAGGCAGTTTGCTAAGCGCTTGGTACCACTTGTCACATCCCATCTCAGATTCATGCCCAATGAGTTTATTTTTCTATTTTCCTCAGTTTATAACCAAGGCTCAGAACAATGACGTGCCCAAAATGTCTGATTCAGAAGTCTCTAGGCCTCACCCTCCTACTTCACTAATCCAAACCATCTGTTCTCACCCCAGAATAGAGAGGGTACTCTGATTATGCTTCTGTTGTACCCTCTGTTTCTTTAAAGCGCCCCCCCCACCCACACACTGTGCTTTTTTTTTTTTAAGGAAAGGGTCTTGCTCTGTAGCTCAGATTGGCCTCAAACTCTTAATCCTCCTGCCTCAGCCTCTCCAATTCAGGGATTATAGGAGTGAACCACCAAGCCCAACTCACATTGTAATTCTTGATTGTATAATAATTTATAGTTTACATGCCCCATCAGACAGCAATATGCTGACAGGTACCAGATTTATCCTTTTCATCATTGTAATCTTCCTATTGTCATGGTGCCAGGCGTATGTGATGCTCAACAAACAAATATTGAATAAATAAATAACAAGATATAAATAATTTCAGCCATGTCAGAAAGAAGGCTCCAAAGCACCTTATCTATGGGTACCATCTATAACAATCAAAAAGCAGAGCTCATATATAAAAAAAGATTTTTGTTTTGAATACAAACATGAGAAGCCACATCAGGATGCATAAACTAAATCCCATTTACCTATTCTTAGTTATTTGCCTTTCTGTAAAATAGTGAAAACCCAGTAAAGTATTTGCACTGGCTCCGAAAATACAGGTGGCTATAGAGAAACTTGCTGGATATTAGGGGTCTAGTCCCTTGTAACTGGAACTTAAAATAAGTAGTGTCATGAAGGGGATGGGGTCTGGGAAAGGGGGTTTTAGCTCTGAAGGGAAGGGCAGCTAATTTTTTCAAACTGTGGAAAAATAAGTGTCACTTAAACTCTCAGCTCTTGCTTTTTAAAAGGAAAATTCTAACTGGGCATTGTGGTACACACCTGTAATTCCAACTACTTGGGAGATAGACGCAGGAGAATGAAAAGTTTGAGGCCGGCCCTGGCAAAGTTTGTGAAACCCTATCTCATAATAAAAAGAAGCAAAAAAGGGCTGGGGGCATGGCTTGAGAAGTAGAACACTTACCTCTCCTGCGTGATGTCGTGGGTTCAATTTTCAATAACACACACACGCACACACAGAAAATTCCATTGACAAAGTAAATTTGGTAGAGTTTATCTGAAGAGTTATCCAGGCTGAATATACAGGGCCTTCTGCATCAGCCAAAGCTCATTATCATGATTAGACTATTGATCTGAACTGCAAGCCCAGACCAGGGCCCCAGTCCAAGTGCATTGCTTCCAGCAAATTCTAACAGTTATCAATGATGTCACTATGGCTAGGTCACTTTATCTCTCTGAGCTTTAGCCACCTGCTCTATAAACGGGTAGGGATGCCTGTCTTCCACAGTCTTAAGGATAGAAAGAGATGATCTTGGTAAGGGTGTGACCCCTTACGTGGTATAGCAGATACTCTTCCTGTGGTGACCCTGCTTTTATTCCTGTCTCTTCAGACCGCTGTGCCTCTTCTACTTTGGTACTATGAATTGAACTCAGCACTTTTGAGGCCTAAATCACCTTAAGTTCACCCCAATTAACTAACTCAGTCATCCTGAATCAGTTGAGCTCTGAGTCCATATGTGTTGCAGCTGACAAAGTCTAAGATCGTTGTTAAACTTGAACCACTTTATGAGGGAAGGCATGATGCATGAGGTTAGGGGAAGGGATGGCCATAGTGGTGTGGGCCTTCAGTCACAGGGAACAAGAAGCAAAAAGAGGAGAGTCCAGGTAGGGCACAGTGACACTTGCCTGTAATACCAGCTACTTAGGAGTTGGAGATTGAGAGGATCACAATTCAATGCCAACCTGGGCAAAAAGTTAGTGAGACCCCATTGCAACCAAAATCTAGACATGGTGGTACACGCCTCTTAGCCTAGATACATGGGAAGCATAAATAGAAGAATTGCTGTCCTTTCTGGCCCAGGCAAAAGCACGAGATCCTATCTGAAAATTAACTAAAGCAAAAGGGCTGGGGATGTGGCTCAAGTGGTAGAGCATCTGACTAGCAAGCAAGGGTGCTGAGTCAACCCCCAGAGACACCAAAGTAAATGAGTGAATGAATGAATGAGTGAATAGAGTCCAGATGTTCCTCCTTCCCCCTGGCCCAGGCCCTAGTATCTGAAGTCACTGGGCCAGAGGAAGATGGGTTGGATTGAGATGCCAGAGCCAAAGGTAGCACCAGGACTGCTGGGCAGGGGGATTGGGTAGTTAGTGAGCTAAAGTTGAGAAACTATCCAGATAGGTGTTCCTGAGAATGGGACAAGCTTACAGAGCCACAGGGATGCGGGGCATGGCCATGATGGAGTCAGAGAGAAGGTTCCCGGGTGGAGGAGCAGAAGTAAGAAAAGCGGGAGCTGGATCATCCCATATAGCTGGGACAGCAAAAAGGGGCACTTGGCTGGAGGGAAGGGCCTTGAGAAAGAGGATGTAGGAGATTGTCTGCAGTCTAGGTGAGGCGGCTGGGTGAGTAGTGGTGAAAATCTTCTACCCCTTGTATTTTCAAGAGTTGAAGAACATGGTCCCTTTCTGGAAGGTACTGAGATCTAGATTCCTTTCATGTGTGACAGAGGGCAATGACTTCTAACAGGCTTTTTCCCCTCAGGAGTTTGGATCTATTTAAATCGTGGTCTGATGAGAAACTCTGGCACCTCGTAACCCTGGGGAAGGTAGAGAAGTTCTCCCATGGGCAACTGGTTTCAAAAGACTTTGTAGACTCATCCTTCCTCATGTTTATCTGCAAGGTGAGAAGTCAGGGGTGGGGCAGTGAAACTGGAAACTACAGGCCTAACATAATGTCCTATGGCCAGGCACACAGGGTCGAGCAGTTCACTTTCTTTTTTGACCTTCACATCCTAGCTATAAAAGACAATGTCCTGATTTGGCCTGCCTGCCTCAGAGGGTTGTTGTGAACTGAGATGTATAGTAGCTCTCCATTTTTGGGGGGATACTTTCCAGGACCTCCAGTATATGTCTGAAACTGAATGGTACCTAATCCTCTATGTGCTATGTTTTTTCGTGTGTGTGTGTGTATGATAAAGTTTAATTTATAAATTAGGCACAGTTAGGGGTTAATAATAACTAATCATAAAATAGAACAATTATAGAGGAATACACTGTAATAAAAGTTACATGAATGGCCTCTGAAAATATCTTACTGTACTATACTCACCCTTCTTGTGATGACGTGAGATGATTTTTAAAGGAAGCATTTTATGGCTTCTCTTTGGCATATCTGAGTTGCCAGCATCATTAACTACTGTTGTGATGTGGGGCTATTATTAAGTAAAATAAAGTTTACTTGAACACAAACACTGGCATACCAAGACAGTCAATCTGATAACCATGACAACTACCATGTAACTAATAGGTAGATAGTGTATACATGGACACTCTGAACAAAGGAATTACTAATATTCCAGGAGGACAGAGTAGGGTAGCAAGAAATTTAATCATGCTACTCGGAATCATGTACAATTTTAAACTTATAAATTGTATATTTCTGGAATTTTCATTTAATATTTTTGAACTATGCTAGACCATTGGGTAACTGAAACCACAGATAAGGTCTTTGGTTATGCTTACTTGTTTTATCTCATTTCAGTCATAGCCCTAAAGATGTTAGAATAGTCATTATTCCCCTTTTACAGAGGTGGAAACTGAAGCACAGGAAGATTAAATGGCTATCCAAGGTCACATAGTTGAGGGGCAGAGGCAAGGATCAACTCAGGTTTGTCTGACCCTAAAGCTCTTCTCAGGAGCTGAGATTTGAGTTGCCTAGTCAGTTCCTTACATTGTAAGTCACCACAGACATTTTTGAGTTCTTGCCAAGGTCATTATACATTATGCAGAATAGGATCTGGAGGGATACAGAGATGGAAAAAAGGACTGGGAGTGTGGCTCAAGTGGTAGAGTGCTTGCCTAGCAAGTATGAGGCCCTGATTTCAAAATCCCAGTATTCCCAGTATTACAAAAAAAAGAAAAAGAGTAAAAACAAGGATGGAAAAGACTGGTTATCTCTCTCTCTCTCTCTCTTTCTCTTTCTCTCTCAATAAATTATGAGCATAGAGAGACAAAGCTAGGTATAAACTATGGGAGTTCCAAGAATTCAGAAGAGGAAATTCCCCACAGGCTGGAGATTTAAAATAAGGTTTCCTGTATGAGGGGAAGAGGAAGATGAGCCTTAACATATTGAATCATTAGACAAAAGCAGGGGGCAAGATTGATTGCATACTGAAGCTGACATGTACTGGCATACAAGAGCTGATTGTTAAATTTTACTACATATTTTTTTAGTATTTGGGTTTAAACTCAAGGCCTTGCACTTGGCAGGCAGGTGCTGTACCACTTGAGCTACACCCAGCCCAGAGGTTCTTTTATGTCTATTTGGTAAAAATACTGTACAATTGTGTGCATCTCTTCCAAACCCCACATTAATGTTGCTACTGAAAAATCAGCCACGGTAGGAGCATTTTACACAATGAGGATCAACGAACACCCTATGTCAGGTCTTGATTTATGGCTTTGCTGACTGTCTTTAGAAAGCGATAAAAGAAAATGTTTAAATACAGATTAAATTTGAAAGTGGGCTGAGTCTAAAGCCATTACACAGAAAAGAAGGAATTTTAGGAAATATTCTTCCAGTATTTAGTAACTATTACTTGATTCATCATAGAACTTGCACTATGGGTGAACAAGTGATGTTCCACTATACCTAGTACCAAAGCTAAAGGAAGTTTTGATTTAATGAATATAATTAATGTGAAGGTGAGACATAGTTGACCAGTTAATCACAAATGAGATTTAACAACAGTTAAAATTATTGGGAAACAGTGAATCAAGATGCAACTTCATTTATCAAGTGATGGTTGAGTTGTGACTGTAAATTGGCCCTGAATAAGAGTTCAACCAACACCAATAAAAATATTCTGGGAGGATTTATTAGCTATATGGAATCTCCAGGAAAGCTGTATCATATTTATTACTTACAAATTTTGGTGGTAAACCTTTTTTTTCAGTGCTGGGGATTGAACCTAGGGCCATATACATACCAAGCAAGTGCTCTGCCACTGAGCTATATCCCCAGCCCTTGGTTTTGTTTGTTTTTTGAAAACAGGGTCTTTGTTATAAAGCTCAGGCTGGCCTTGAACTCTCCATTGGATCCAACTTCCACCTCCCCAGTGCTGGGATTACAGGCATGTACCACCACACCTGGCTTGACACATCCTTTGTAATAATAACATGTATATGTTTACATTTTTTCAGAGCAGCAATTGTTAGACTGGCAGCACCACTAGTGGTGTGCGTAATTCTGGGGCCAGTCTCAAAGAACAAGATCGTCTCTTGCTAATAGGTGTAGAAAGGAAGTTATTGCAGTACGTTGAATGGGTTACAGCTTTACTGGCTAATGGAGGAATGGGAAAACTTCAGAAACAGACCCTAAACTGAAAATAATTCCTAAAGAGCTTCAAAGCATAGGTCAGAACTGGACTGCCATGAGTGCTGCTACCCTGCCATGTTCAAGAAGCTACTTATATAGCCATCACCTTGAATAACAAAATGGATGACTGGTGCTTCCCACACCATTCTGTGCTCAAGTGCACTATACTGGTGGAACCCAAATCACATCCAGGACCTTTGCTGTGAGGGGACTTGGAAAACGAAGTGATTGGCCTCCAAACTCTACACATTAAAAAGGAATTGGATGGTGGGGATGAGGCCATTACCAACTGAAGTGTGGACCAAGCACATGGTAGGGATATGCCTGGGGTGAATATGACATGTTTGAAGACTTTTTTTTTTTCTTGGTGGGACTAGGGTTTGAACTTACGGCTTTGTGCTTGCAAAGAAGGTGCTGTACTGCTGAAGCCACACTTCCAGTCATTTTTTTCTGGTTATTTTTGGAGATGGGCGTTTCTCACCAACTATTTGCCCAGGCTGAACCTTGAGCCACAAATCTTTCAGTCTCAGCCTCCGAAG